CGGGATTTAGGATATCTAGCTGAAGTGTGATGTTGAGTTCCTCAGCGTACTTAGCTGCTTCCTTTAAAAGCGACTGGTGGCCTGATGCCACGGCGTGTTCTTCAAATTCTCTGACTGCTTCCACAATCTGGTTTGAGCTTTTACTCGTGTCTACTGATCGCATGCCTCTACCCCTTTTCCCCCTCGGTAGATATAACAAAGAAGTTAGGCTAAGTGGGTGCTTACCATCGTTTTCAACTATGATCTTCCGAGCTGCTATGTCCACATCTCTTAACTCTGATAGAGCCCTATGCTGTGTCCACGTTAAGTACCGTAGCACCGGAAGCGCATACTGATTAGTTGCCTGTACACGGTTACAGTTAGACAGGGGGCTGGACCATATAATAGACATCCTCCGTAGATACTATTTAGCTGCACACGCTAGGGCCAGTCGTTCATCCTGGCGAACGTTCTCTAACATCCCCAGAAATTTGTGGTGTTTTCCTTCCTCAAGAACCATGATGGTGGTCGTCTCGTCCATCCTTATACCAGACTCGTCTAGCACTTGGGCTCCCCTCTTTACGTTACCACTGAACACTTTTTCTGATTCCAGTGGAGGCCGATATCCTGCATCGCTCCTCTAGTCTCCTTCAGCACTCGGTTTAGCTTGCTCCCGGAGGCAGCAAAAACCTTCAGGTCGTCGATAAACAGGAGATCGGTGACTTTGATTTCTATGGGCTTGGATAACCGGTATCCCTCCGTTGCCTGCAGGCGCCACGCTACTGGGTTCAGCGAGCGTAAAGAATCTAGGACACAAAGAGTCCCCCTGGGCATAGTTATTAGAGGAGACTGGTTATGAAAAGCGGCAAACATCAGTGATAAAAACAACAGTGCTACAGTTTATGTTCAAAGCACCGTGAAAGTGCACAATCCTTTGTTTTCTGTTGGCAAATTGTTACGGAATAAATTAATGCAACGTTTTTATTGGTCAATACAATCAAAATGATAGGAATTCTTTTGAACGTTGTGCACTTTCAGGTCCACAAAAACATATAACAAAGGAGTCTGACGGGTTTCATAACCATGCCACTCAATTAACTATGCCCTGGGGTAGTCCCTTCATGAACCTTATTTTCTTGAAGTCTCTCGACCTTGCCTTGTTGTTGCTACTACCCCAGTGCTCCGGCTCGCACATTACCCAACCAGACGGGAAGCCTGTGTACGTCAGTTGTCGCACATAGCCAATCAGGGTCGCCGGAGTCGTAGGCTTTGCTCATGTCACTCCATGCCATGCTTAAATTCCGTTTGCCTCTCCGGCAATCCAGCATTACTGCTGTATCGATTAGAACGTTATCCATCGTACCGAAACACCCTTATTTCGCTCCTGTTTTCTGGTCTTCCATCCGGCCATAATCTTCAAGGTGTTGGTCCATGGATGCAGGGGGGCAAGATGTAAACCACTTACACAGGTTTTTCAGACAAGTAGTAGGTCTTTGATTTTCACTCATGGACGATTACTTCATAACTTTAAAAGTCCAAAAGATGTTGAAGGAAGAGAGTTGATAAATTCGAATGCGATATTCATTGTTCTTGTAGCAACTTTAAACGTCCGAGCGATGCTTAGCGTTCCCGAAAGTACAGCCTTTTGTATGTTATGAAGAACTCCGTTACTCTTACTTCCGACCAATTCGTCCTCCTCGGCTCAATCCCCCTAGTACGTCCATTATGATATTATGTTGTTTTACTTCATATCCTTGGTACTTCGAATTCTGCTTCAATTCCCAACGGAGGGGTCCGTATTTCGTGCTTTTCTCCTCCTACTTTTTCTCCCGGTTTGTAACCCATGGGCAGCTCATCTTCAGCGTGAGGACTCGCTTTAACTCGTGGTTGATAATCCGAGCATCTGCTCCATTGGCTCTAACTTCTTGGTGCTCCGCAAATAGGGAGATGTCTATACCAGAATGCTTGCGCATTGTTCGCCCCGTACACTGTCTTCGGTTTCAGTGGCGAGTACCAAGGTGGCACTGAGTCTGCAAGGCCTAGGTCTTGCAGAACCTCGAAGAAAAGTACTTGTTCTGTGCAAGGGTAGTACAACCAGCCAGGACATGGGCGACACTTTCAGTGGCCTTACCACATAGCCTACACACCACCTCACCCGTCGTACCTGTTTGCGTTTTCTGGCAGGCATACAGCCTCGTCGGTAATAACTATTGGTAGAGATCAAAAATCTCGGCCACTGTACGTGTTGGGCATTGTTTCAGACCGCTTAGCCACCTGAAACAGCCCTTGAAGTTAAGGCTCTCGTCTTCGCTTCTCGCGGAGATTAGTTTCTCCTGCCAGTTCGGTTCATGCGCCGCTTCCCATGTCTTGTGTTCCAAACACCTTTTCAGCCCTGCCTTCAGTTTCTCTGCTGTTATCACCTCTCTAATATCACGCTTTATGTAGGTTGGATTTGGGTACTCTAGCTGCAACTGGAGGCCCATCTCCTCTGCATACCTTGCTGCCTCTTTAACTAAAGAGCTATGACCTAACACTTCCGCTCTCTCTTTAAACTCACGAACCATAGCCATCGCTAGGTCACCATTTCCATCTAACTTCACTGCCGCCTTTATCTTCGTCACTTTACACTCCTCCTTGATCGAGCGCAGACCTCTACCTCCTTTCTACCTTGACACGTATAGAATAGCAGTAGAACTATTATTATTGTTATGATTTTTATTATTATAATAGAGTATACTAAAGATGAAACAACAACAACATGATATTAATTTGAGGAGGACTCTGAAAAAAAAATCCGAGTCCCAGATGGGATTTGAACCCACGACCCTCCGTGATCTAGTCGGATGCTCTAACAACTTGAGCTACTGGAGACTCTATGGTGAGCAAGGGCCAATTTGTGGGTCTCAAATTGGCCCTTGCTCACCATAGAGTCTCCAGTAGCTCAAGTGGTTAGAGCATCCGCCTAGATCACGGAGGGTCGTGGGTTCAAATCCCATCTGGGACTCGGATTTTTTTTTCCGAGTCCTCCTCAAATTAATATCATATTATTATCATTATAATTATTATTTAAAAATCTGTTTACAATTCCCTTCGATTAAAAGAACACTTAATTTTGCTTAGAAAAGGTTAATTTAATTAAGAAAAATTATTCGAATTAAAAACATTTCATTTCAATAAAAACTATCAGCCTCTAAAACTAGAACGTTTTATTATTATTATTGTTTTAGTTTTTACTGCAATGAAACTAATCATGGAGTTGCGCCAATTAAAAATAAGTTCTATGTCTATTTCCCTATTTTAGAAATCCAGACTGGAAGGTCATTATCAGGTTAGAGTGCAATCTTTCGTTGGATACAGTTTATGATGCTCAATTCGAAGTATTTCAGGATAAAAAAATTCCTTGGGTAAGTATTTTAATCAAAAGATATATATATCATTTTTGATTTATGACTAGTGTAATGTCAAAGGCAAAAAAACTGCTCTGTGGTTTAATCACCAGGGGCCCGTAACTTTTCGGGCCCGAAATCAAATATTCAAATTGAAATATAAAGAATAAGAGTGCTGGTCTTGGCTAGCAAACTACTCCATTTTGTTTCATCAACTGATAGTTTTATCATGTTGAATGCAAAACTATTGAAACCTGTATCTTACATGTAAAACAACAACAGCTTTACGGGCCCGCTAATTATCAAGACTTTCGAGAAACGGGCCCCCGCAGGACTCTGTCTTGAGACTTACTGAGATAAGAACTAAGCTAAATAGCTTTTGTTTTGCTTTATTTTTCAGGAATTCACTTTCATCCATAAGTGCGCGTGTCCAAATGCTTGTCCTGAAGGAATGCCAACTAGCGGTAAGTTACACGCTATGCTGACGTTCTTACATAGGTTTGAAATCACAATTACCCTTTCTTAAAGAAACAAACGCAAAATGATATAGATCTAGCCAATCCTGAAAGCGAAGCTTCCGTTAATAAACTTAGCCTTGCTCTATTGTGTGGCCCTTGTCATCGTTTTTTGTTCCTTTTAGTTTCCTAATACAATATTAATGAGCAAGATCCGAAATGAAAAGTTAAATAGATTTTTTATTTTTCCACATATTTTCTTTTCAAAGTCGGGCGACAAAAAATATTTGTAAACCTGCCTGTACATTATGCGCCTCAATATTCGAGCGTAACCTTTACTATAATGCACTGCTTGTTTGCTATGAAGACAGACCTAGGACAGTAAATAAATTTTGTACCGCGACTAAGCCGACTCTGAAAATAGAATGTGTGCGCCGCGTGCCTGCAGCAACCTATGTTTGTTGAATGAAACAGATACGGTAGAACAGCACTGGGATAATTTACTACTCTTGCGCATCTTTATAAAAATGTTCTGCCGGTGTGTCAACAGTCAGTTTATTATTTTACGTCCAGAAAAGTCAGAGACGGAAAATAAGCCCGCTGTGTTAGCAGAAATTTAAAAAAAGGCCCCAGAACGGACATTTACTTACTGAAAACAGAAAAAGAAAAGAAGAAAAGCATCTAATTCCAATTTCGTACAAGAAATTATGGGCGATGCCGGGTTTCGAACCAGGTACCTCTGCTCCGGAGGTTAAAATGTTTAAGTTGTGACATCATTTCTTGAGGGATGTGGGAGTGAATGCCGCTTATGCTTAGATTAAGAGGACGTACGCATATTTACTTATTCATTTTAGTGTCCGAGCTAATATACGCATTTAGTTTTTATATTGTAAATTTTCGAACTTAGCTTCGAAGTGTTAAATCTAGAACTTAGTTTTTAGAGTGTAAAAGAGCACTTAGCTTGAATAGTGTCAATTTCCGGCTTTTATAGTACTTAATTAGTTTCTATTAATGATGTAATTTAGTTTTAAAGGTGTCCCCAATTAGTGCCAATAGGCACTAGAACGACAAGACACTTTAATAAAGGTTATGTATGTATGTATGTATGTAAGTTGTGTGCCACAAGGACATTCATTTCCAAACGAGAAAATTTAAAGTATTTTATAGTTTGTTTCACTCGTTGTACCTTGTGTTAAAGGGAAAAAACACGTAAGGAACGGCGAAAATAAAAGTGACTAGATCTCAAGACACATCACATGCATTATGAATCAAAATTCAAATTATTCCAGCCAAAGGTGGTTTTTCATCCGAAGCTTTCATAGTCGGGGGGAGGGCAAAATTTGAATAATACATTTTCTTTGAGAGTCTTCTTTTTTTCTGTGCATAATTTTTGCAGTTTGCGGTAAGGACAGTGAAACTCAGGTTTAAACTTGGAACGGAGCCTGCTTACACAAACGCGAGAGCTCTATCTGACCACTGTGGTGTTCAAAATGTAGACCTTAGCGAGGGCTATTGAATTCAAATAGAAATTTGGCAGTTTTTAGAGATAAATATAAAAAATGCCGTTTTCCCAGTGATTCTTTAAAGGTTCAATAGCCATAATGAGGGAGATAATCTATTGCTGGTCATTCAAAAACCAGCCAAAACTAGTTTTGCACTAGAGGGCACTCATTAAAGGTAGGGTAAAACGGGCAACAAAAACATGCAACTTGTTTTGCAACACTGCTGCAAAACTAGTTGAAAAGCGATGTTACGCGTTTAACAACACACGAATCAAACCTGTCTTGCGATAAATCAAACTGTTGCAGGTTGCGAAAAGTTGTTGCAGAAGTAGAAGGATGTTCTAGTTTTTGGGACAAAATCTGTGCATGCCGCTTGTTTTACCGGGCCAAAGGCAAACTTGTTTTTAGTGACGTCAATCTTTGTTTGGTATGACTCCCGCGTAATTTAACCAATCAAAAGTCAGTATTCACGCAACTTGCAACAAGCTGATTTGTTTGCAAGACAGGTTTTATGTGGGTGGTAAAACGCGCAACATCGCTATTCAACTCGTTTTCCAGCAATGTTGCAAAACAGGTTGTCGCCCGTTTTTCCGTAACTTGAAGGAAATCAATTTTTTTACAGGTCCACCTCTAAGCACTCCTCCAAGCACTCCTATAAGCACTCCAATTAGAACTGTAATTATTGGTGTTTTTGGAGGTCTTCTTGCAGTTTCTCTGTGTGTGTTTGCCTTAGTATTCTGCAAACGTCGCCGAAGTCAGATTAATCTTGACATCCAAAGGCGACCTCTCATGGATCAAAACGGAGGCAACGGAGGGGAACATTGCACCTATCAAAGCAACGACGAAAGTCGGCATCTCGCTGATCGAGAAGACAACGGTAGCCAACATCTTATCGACAGCTTTATCAAAAACCCAATCGGAGGAAGAAGGTCTCAGTCGAGATCTTGCAATATCAGGGAGCTTAAAAAAGATAATGTCAACAAATTAAACGCGCCCTTGTAGGGAGTCGGCGCAAGAATTATGATTCGGGAGGCGGTCTCAATTTAAAAAAAGAAACGTTTTAATCGTGATCAGTTGATGTAATAACCTACTTCCCACGATTATCTACAGTTATGTCTCCCCCTCGAGGGAGGAATAGGCAGCAGCCTAAGAGCCTGGTTCATAATCCTCAATCTAATGTGTGTGCTTTTGATCACGAATCAGGTTAACACATCTCGAGTAGTTTGAACTAACCAAAATAAACCTACTAAGGAGGTCGCTCTCTTGGCTCAATACATAGAGCTCTGGATGCAATATAAAGCAAAGAGAGACTACTTCATTTTACTTAAATGTATTTCGTATTGCTTAGTACAAAACTACCAAGTAAAATATTACATCCCGAACGGACGAAAATTCCACTAAAAATGCTATTACGAAAAACGTCGTCTTATTCAAACTATGCATGCTTATGTGTCGTCTGATATTTCAGGGTTTTTTAAAACCATTAAAGAATAAAACAAATTAGCATGTGTGCAGTTTTTTAGTTTTGTCGTCAAAAATGCAGGTGGGGTGCTGCTTGTTGAAACTTGCCAGGTAGTTCCCACGTCTGGCCGTACTGCTCGAGTTTGTAAGCTAGCAGGGGTTGTTAGATGATGCTAGTAGTAGTCATTTAGGGACGATTTACTCCGGATTGAGGCCTAGAAAGTGTCTACATGTGCTCAGTCAGTTACCTCCGTTTACGAGCCTTCCTGCATACTAATAGGTGCCTACTTTTCATATGCTGTTAAACAATTTGCTTAAGAAAAAGCGCGTTCCTCCATATCGTGTAGGTGCCTTGTAAGAATCTACCTAGGCACTTGCTAGGTACTTGCTAGGCCTCAAACCTAGGTAAATCATCCCTAAATAACTACTGCTGGTGACAGTAGTGGATTCAACCGTCGTCGCGGTATGTGTTACATGTCTGCATCCCGATTGTGATATGAACTATCATGTAAAAGTGAATCATTGAATATTGCAATTCTAGATTTTTGATTGGCTTAACCATCATGGTATACTCAGTTTACGCGTCAGTTCAAGACTTGCGCTAGTTGGATAGGAGATGGTTATAGCCAACTCGTATACAAAGCGCGCTCGTGGAATAATTGCTAATTATTAAAAACTGAATCATTGGATAATGCAATTCTAGCATTTTGATTGGCTTAGCCGTTATGGTATATGAGCTATTATACCATGCTCTCCATATATGGTCGGAGTACGCGTCAGTTTAAAATTGGAAGCTAGCTGAGATTTTTTTTCGCGAACGATACAACAGCACCCGAAGCAAATTGTTTTCATTCACTTCTTAGAATACTTGAAATTCAATTTCTTAAAAAGAAAAAAGACAAAACAAACAAAAAAGCCACAAGAGCTTGTTTGAAAGTTTGTCGAAAAACACATGAAAACACATGGAACTAAAGTACCTTGACCAGCTACGAAAGAAGACAAGTGTTGTTTCTTCATGATCGCGAAGCCATTCGCCGATCGAGTCACTCGCCCATAGATAACTGCGGCTTGTTTATCCGACATCAAGAATATAAATCACAAGTAACCAGATACAAATACAGGCTAAACAGGCATTCACTAGAGCAATCGAGGCGGCAGTATAGCTTCTTTTCTCTTTCAGCAAAACCAGCTTGTTGCTTCAAACAACTTCATCAGAAGCGACCGAGGTAATAGTTTTTCTCCGTTGTTCTTACTTTTATAACTGCACCGAAAATCCAAATTAACAGTAATTTCGACGGCTGTCACTTTTCCTTTACATTATCTGCCAGGTTTTTTTAGCTGTTCAGCTGTGTAAAATCCTAGAACCCCGATGAGTTTTTAAAAAACTAATGTTCATCGCTACAATGTTTTGATTTTTCATTCATGCAGTCCAGGCGAGTCCGTTCGCGCGTTGACAGTTTTGATAGACGTGTGACATGTGAATAGCGGAAGTCCCTTGTCTTTTCCGGTTTGTTCTAGTCGGGGAGATTCAACTAGATTTTGTGGGCGTTTTCAATAAAACAATTATTCCATTTGCGCTTGTTGGATATGAGATGATCATAGCCAACTAGGCGCTACGCGCCTCGTTTGCTCCCTCTCATCTCATATCCAACGCGCCCTCGGGGAATAATTGTTAAATAGTACCCCAGACTGGACAAACGGGGGTAAGATTTCCGCACAGTCTCATAGATTCATTATGCATTCAGCAATTTCATACCATTTCTCACAAATAGTTGATATGAATAGACTCAAAATATACATGCATAATAAATTTATGGGGCTGTAAAGAAATCTTACCCAAATGAGGGTTTATATTTTCACTTCTATCAAAAGCAAGCTCATTTAAGTTTACATTTACTATTTAGGTCTGTCACTCAATTCTGAGCATTTTAGACCGCTCTAAAAAACAAGTGACTGAAATGGCGCTTATGAGCGCAGCGTAATAAAAGTGTTGATAAATGTTTAAAAATGCATTTTTAAAAGCAGCCAGTGAAATGTACAATGCTATATCCCTTGGGAGTTTATTCCATTCTGTAATTGTCCTTGGATAGAAGGAATACTTGTAGTAATCCCTAATTTGAGTACGAATGGTCAGCAGATTGTAGTTTGGCATCTTCGTGAGAGACTTCAACTTCAATTTCAACTTCAACTTTATTTAATGAAAATATTGATTACAATAGTCTGTCCCGCAAAATAGAAATTGCTAATCTAAGCGGATTAAATCTACTAAGGAAAGACGAAAAAGGAATTGACAGAGTGCGAAGACAACAAAAAAAATAAATACATTTGTACAGAAATCACTTAACCGTTAATGAAACTTTCTCATCGATTAATGACGTCTCAATACAGTTATCTTCTCTTTTTACTGATCCAGTATGGTTTATTCACGTGCTGGAAGTTTAGGTTTGTTTTTCATCTTTGACTGCAGGCCGTGTACCTGAGTTTTTCCACTTTGTGCTCTAATACAGTCGAATCTCCCACCCAAAATGCAAAGGCTTAGTGGTCGCTTACGAGAGTCGGACTGCAAGGGCGAAATTTTTAAGTCAAACTAGAATAGAGTGGTATACTTATTCTAAAAAAATAATGAAAGTTTACTTTCCCCTACCAATTACTGGTAGTTTTATAGACAAAATCGTTTGTTATTCTATGTGAGAGTTCATTTACGGAAGTGCACTTACAATTAGATACAGAAATGTCCCTAAAACGTCTGAAGAACAAAAACTTAACTTCTTAAACTGAAACCTGGAAATCTGAGTCTTTTTCTCAAGGGTAATGGTTAATATTGTAGTTATAGATCGAACAAATAACACACTGTAATAGATGTGTAGCCAATAATGACAGCCAAAGAATAAATTCTTTTTTGTCCATTTTTACAATGTACTTCACTGTTTAGTAAGATCATGTGTCAGGTGGTCGCTTACAGGAGATTGAAAATAATATACAATTCTAAAACTGTCTGTCGAAAAAGTGGTCGCGGTCGCTCACGGAAGGTAGTCCTTTATGAGAGGTTCTGGTGTAAGGCTTTGAATGAAAATATTTTTCACGTTTTGGGAAGGTGGTCGCTTATTGGAGGTGGTCGCCTACGGGAGCTAGTGGTCGCACGTGGAGGTTCGGCTGTACTTAAGAAGCATTAATAGCACCTAGGGCCCTATTTGTTTCTTTTAGGGGTTAAAAGGGTATTTGCCACCTCCAATCTAAATTGGCTCCCTCTCACCTTCAAATGGAGCCACTACAATGTTGCCATACAACGCCCGGCTTCCACCTCTCTGCCTCTTAAGAAAATATATTCTCTCTCTCTTCCCACATAGTCTGTAGAGAAAATATCTTTAAGAGGTTTTTACAGTTATTTTAACCTGTTTCACGGAGGTATCTACATCAGTAGGGAAGGGCGTGCCAAAGAGAAGTGAGCAGGATAAAACAGGTGTGGGGGTCTAAGTATCAGGTGTAGACAAGTACATCCAAAACAATGATTTACACATTTTCTCTAGTGGACATGTTTGTTGAGTAAAAAAAGGCAAGGGTCCCTTAATATTTGTCTTCAGGGGCAGCAAAAAATAGTGTCAATATAACAGAGCAAAACAATTCAATAACAGAAACTGGCTTTTTTAACAAAGTAATATAAAAGGTCAAAGGCACATGAAAAACATTGCTGTATGACAACATTTTAATAATTCAATAGTAATTATAGCCATGTAGTTAGTAACATTTTATGATAAACAAATTCTTAAGTCTCTAAGACTAGTTTACATGATGCGGGAAGTTGCTGCCTGCCTTGGGTTGAACTTCATTCAAAACTAAGACAAAATAAAAGAGCTTTATAACGTGGGAATCAGTAGGTGAAATCAAGCACAAGAAAAATTAAAGCTAGCAATGTTTGTATTTTTGTGAACTAAGGATAAACATCAACAAATGGGCGGAGAATCCCTGTCAATAACAGTTTTGATGAAAGGCTGGAACTACCAGAACGATTCCCTCGAAAGTATTTTGTCCAGCATGTACCTTTGAGTCAGCTGTTTGTGCCAGCTTGTGTTGCCGTCCTTGCCAGCTGGGCCTAAAAAAGGACGTCCGTCGATATGTTCCCACAGTCGTAGTCATCGCAAATACCCGCTTTCGTACGAAATTATACGTCAGAAATAGCCTGGTTTCCCACCTTGCTCGTTGTCCGCGATCTGCATTCTTTCTTCGCTTCGTTGAAAGCCATCTCTATCAAAAGGACAGCATTAATTTATGAAATTTCTCAGCGAGAGTAGAAACATTTTGAATCACCGCGCACATAAAATTGGACAAATATCATGCACACAAAACAAAAGGTTTAAACCAAAGGGCCCAGAGACACTGAAATCATCGTTTGGGCTAGCTAGAAAGAAGTGACTATAAATGATCAATGAAAAAATCGTGCTCCTTTTGATCGTGTGTACAACTGAAAGAAACAAGTTTAGGCTTTCTCAAGAACTTTCATTTTCACTTCCGTTTTGAACTGAATAATGCGCACTAAGACCGGA